GCGGGCTCGTGCCGTGCCAGGTGCAGTGCCTGCTGGCTGGGTGCTGGCAGGGTTGCACCTGGCACGGGCACCATAGCCAGACCGTGCCCTTTTAAGGGCTCCGGGGCCGGGAGGGGGGCAGAAGATTTGCCCTGGTGGTGCCCAGAGTGGCCACCGGGGAAAGCTGGGAAGGGCTAGCCTCCCACTAGTTCGAATTAAGTGGCTACACTGCCCTTAATTCAAACTACTTAATTCGAACTAGGTGTTAGTCCTTGTAGAATGAGGTTTACCTAGTTCAAATTAAGCGCTCCGCTACTTTGAATTAAGTTCGAACTAGTGGTTTGTATGTGTAGCGCCTATCAAAGTTAATTCTAACTAATGTCTGTTAGTTCGAATTAACTTTGTAGTGTAGACATCCCCCCAGGGATTTAAACATATAAATCCCAGGCTTAAGTGCCTAAGTACCTTGTGGATCTGGGCCTTAGTGCTTTGAGAGTCTTTTTTTTTTTAATTCTGTATGTACCTGCAAATATCCATGTATACTGCTATTTAAGTACAAGTTACTCTGCAGAGCTCTGTTGACTTGCTAGTTTTACCCAGCACAGACATTTGTGGGGAGATTTTTCAAAGACAAAAAGGGCTGTTAAGTGCCCAACTCACCAAAAATCCATGAGAATTTGGAGACTAACTGCTCCTTAAGCCTTATAAAATATTTCTCTTTAGTTTTGGATGCTCTTGTAACACAACCAGATAGTTCCCACTTTCAGTAATTTAACCCTATTATAACATAGAAGATTCCTACTACCAAAGATCTGACCTTCGGTATGTCTACCTACAGCAGGGATGGCCAACGTGAGGCTCGCAAGTCGCAAGCAAAAAGTTGCAGCTCCTGAAGGAACCGGGATGGAATCTGGAACTGCTCAGGTCAGCTGCTCTCACGGCCAGGCCACTGTGAGTCGCATGCATGCTCACAGCCCACAGCATTCCGCTCACAGCCCCCAGCGCACTACGTCATATCCTGCACGTGCTGGCCGGGTCTCACACAGCATCCCAGCCTGCACATGCTAGCAGCCAGCCGCTGAATACAGGCAGCGGCAGAGGACAGCAGCTCTAAGACCCGGCCATAAAGTTGGAGGGGCGGGAGAGATGCCTAGCTCTGGAGAAGGGGAGGGGAATTGGGTAGGGGGGATGGTGCGCATGGTGTCCCGGATGCAGTGCAGTGGCTCTGGCTCCAAGACCTGAGCATAAGGTTGGAGGGGAGGGGGATTGGGTTACAGCAGGGAGGGGAAGTGTTGGCTCTGGGGAAGGGAAGGGGAGGGGGATTGGGTTGCGCACAGCATCCTAGCCAGCTCATACTTAAAGCCAGCCGCTCAGCACACATGCCCCAGTGCTGTGTGAGGTTAGAGCGGGGGAGAGAGGATTGGGTTGGGGATACGTATGCCTGGCTTTGGGGAATGGGAAGGGGATTGGGGTAAAGCATGGGGGCTGGGTGCCTGGCTCTGGAGAAGGGGAGGGGGACTGGGTTAGAGCATGCTGCTCTCTCCCTCCTCAAACTGCTTGCACACTTCCTGAAATGCCGGGTCTGCTTTCAAAAGAGGCTTGCAGTCTAGACTTAGTTAGAGTGAAGAGCCAGGGCAAAGTTGTTAACAAAAAAACAAAACAAAAAAAGCTTCCATAGGACGGTGTACTAGAACCTATTTTCCCCCAGCGCAGCTTTTTTTTTTTTTTTTGCTCAAAAACTCTTGGGGGCTGCAAGCAGATTTCAGAGGGGTCCACCAAGAATGGCCAGCATTAGACTCAATAGAACCTAAGGCCAAAAGCTGAAGCCTCACCATGTAGGATTGCAGCCCACAGCCCTGAGCTCCAGCACTTGGGGCTGAAGCCAAAGCCTGAGCATCTTAGCTTCCCAAATGCTCCTTGTGGTGTGCGGACCCAGGCAATTGCCTTGCGTCCAACTCCTTAAACTGAGCCTGGCTTTTATATGGAGAAAAACAGTTGTGGCATTGGTGAACTGTGAAGTTTTTATAGCATGTTGACAGGGCCTCAGAAATAAAACGTTTGAGAAGCCCAGTGTAGATATGTTTACAGCAACAGAAGGGTTTTTTTTCCATCAATGTAGTTAATTCACCTCTGAAGGAAGTGGCAGTTAATGGAATAATTCAGCTGTTGACCTAGCTGCATCTACAGTGGGGCTTAGGTCAATCTAAGAAGATCACACAGGGCATGTCTGCACTAAGAAATTATTTTGAAAGAACTTATTTTGAAATAATAACTTCCAAAATAATAAAATCAAAATAGTGTGTCCACACTACAGGGAAGCCTTGAAATTAGTTTGAGGCAGGCTCCCTTAATGTGGACATGCTACCTCAACTTAGAGCCCCAGGAAGCACTGAGGAGTAATTCATCTGAATGACTCTGGGGAGTAATTATTTCGAAATAGCAGCAATGAAACATCCATACTACCGTATTTCAAAATAAGCGTTATTCCTCGTGGAAAGCAGGAGTTATTTTGAAATAAGTGCCCTGTTATTTTGAAATAATGGGGTTGATAGTGTAGACATTGTTTGCTATTTTGAAATAAAGTGAGTTATTTCAAAATAACTCCCTAGTGTAGACAAGGGCACAGGGTGCAAAGTTTTTTCACAGTTCTGAGCAATGTAATTATGTTGATCTAATTTTTCAGTGTAGACCAGACTGAGTTAATTACCAATAAGAAATGTAATTTGAGGCTTAAATTCTGATACACGTATGTTGGTGAAAACCTTTGAGACATTGCAGATTTTTACCAGCATAACTGAAAACAGAATCTTGCTTAAGACCCCTACTTCTAAGAACTTAAAATCAGTGGATATTGAATTTCTCACTTAATCTCACACATTCTTGTTAGTTGCTCTTCCTGTGAATAAACACACGAAGGGTATATCTACACTGCAGTGTTATTTTGAAATATCTTATTTTGAAATAGTTATTCGAAATAATGTGTCTACACACAAAATGCATTTCGAAATAGTGTTTTGCTATTTCAAAATAGCGCATTCACACTGACTGGACTCTGAATCGCATGTAAGGCTGGCCGGAACCAGGTCCGGCAGGGCATCAGGTCAGGAGTTACTTGTGTGGCTGCTACCTGAGGCTGTGCTTAAAGGGATCCCCCCTGGACAGCCGATTCTCAGCTTTCCATACTTGCTTGACTACCTCGATAAGGGACAGCAAAGCATTTTGTCTCTGCGTGCTCTGATTGCCCTTACTCGGGACACCATAGCACTCTGCAACATGGAGCCAGAGCTGCCCCTGGACACCATGGTGCTTCTCATGGATGTGTTGCTGCAAGCCTTGCTACGCTTTCTTCAGGCTGCCATCCGGGAGGTCCATTGGGGGGCTGTCAGTATCCAGGAGGCCCTGCGGGAGAGCTTCCACCCTGAGGAGCACTAAAAGCCTCCCTTGTCTTCCCCACTGGGGGCTTGTGCCTCATTCCTCCCTCACGTCCTTCCACTTACCCGTCCCTAACCTCCCTTCCTGATGTCAAATTAAATACATGTATTTTCATGAACACAAACTCTCTTTATTTAACAAAACTGGGGGGGAGGGAGGGAATGAAACTCTCGTGAGACTGGGGAAAGGAAGCAGGAGAGGGAAAAAGAGAGGGTGGGAGAGGGGAGGGGGAAACCTAGAAGAAGGGAGCTGGAAGGCGGAAGTGAGGGGAAGAGAGGGGAGGGGAAGATCAGGGCTCAGGGTTGGGGGTCTCGCCGGACCAACTTGATTTTCATGCAAGCCTGCTCCTGGGTTCACATGTGGCCTTTGATGGCCAGGCTGGCAGCTATCCTGCCATAGACAGCCGCATTCCTCCATCTAGTGAGGAGATCATGGACGTTGGGCGCATCCCCTCCAAACCTGAATAAGGTCCATGATCTCCAGCCTGGACCAGGAAGGTGCCCACCTTCTCCGGACTCTGTCAGGCACCTGGGAGCTGGCAGACTGCTCCTGGGAAGCGGTGGAGGGCTGGGTGCCAATGGCTTTCTGGCTCAAGTTTTGGGGCCACTGGGTCAAGGGCAGTGATTGCTGGCTCTAGTCTGGCAGCCTTAGAGCTGGCACAGGCACTGTGGCCAGAGTCAACCCATCTAAGGGCTCCGGGGAGGGGAGGAGGGAGAGGAGTGTTCTTGGTTGAGGCTGGAGTGGCCACCAGGGCACCCTGGTAAGGCTGGAGGCCCCCTATTTTGATATGAGTCTCTATAGCACACTTATTTTGAAATAGCTATTTCGAATTTGGTGGAATTCCTCGTGGAATGAGGTTTACCAAATTCGAAATAAGCGCTCCGCTATTTCGAATTAATTTTGAAATACCAGTTTGGCTGTGTACACGCTAGTAAAGTTATTTCGAAATAACCGCTGTTATTTCAAAATAACTTTGGTGTGTAGACATATCCTAATTTTCTACACCTGTTGAATGGAAAGTTGGTGCAATTTTCTTTGCAATGTAGATCTGTATTTCTCTAACTTATACCTGATATATAACTTTCATCGCTATTTATGTAACCACTGACTTTAGGCTAGGGATTTATGTGTGAGCTGTACCTCTTTCCTTCAGGATCAATCTGGACCCAGATTTTAATTTTCATATGAGAAGTTCAATTTAGCTTATAATCTGCACTACAATTCTATTCCCTTCTTTTTCTGTTATAAATTCTGAGTCCCCCCCTATTTTTCAACTCAAACTCAACTGAAGAAGTGGACTTTGCCCATGAAAGCTCATTATACTATATATATTTTTCTTAGTCTAAACAGTTCCATGGGACTACTCGTTGTTTTTAAAGTTACAGACTAACATGGCTACCCTCTGAGACTTTTAAACTAGTTTATGAAAGAGTAATCCTCCGATTAGTGTAGTATTGATGGAGTTAAGTTTCGAAGTTGGAAATGTAGAAAGTTCACAATACAATAGTTCAATTTCAGTAATGAGCCAGTGCACAGCTTTCATATGGCTGTAAACCTGTTCCGTCACCACTGCAGATGCTGAATTACACCCCTGAGGGAGTAAACTTCCTAGTGATGCTGCTCCATGTCAGCAGCAAGGGAGCTAATTCCCCTGTGCTGTGGTTCTATTGATGGAGCTAATGACCTAGTGAAGTGGTTTTACTTCATTAGTAAGTAAACTTCTCCCTAGTGAAGCATTTCAATACAAACACATTTCATTACCAAGTCCCTAGCATTTTAATCCAAGTGCTAAGGGAGTTAACTCCTTAGTGTGATCAATTCTTCTTGGTAGTCAATTGCTTAAATTCCCTTATGATTTTTATTTGCTCAGCTATACAATTAACTTCTCAATGAAGCTGTTTCATGCAGTGAGTCCTGATTTCCTTAGCACAACATTACAGTCTGCAATGCTGACAGCAAAAATAACCACCATTGCACTGGAATTTGTCCCACAATACATTGGTTCTATTTTGGCAGTACTACACTTTCAGCTTGGCAGGAGGATGGTTAATTGTCCCATTTTGTGGATGGGATGCTTGTGTCCTAGGAATTATTTAAAAAAGCATCCTTTTGTATAATAAAAAGGGAGGAAGGCCAGAAGTCTTAGGGTATGTCTATACTAGCCCCCTAGTTCGAACTAGGGTGGCTAATGTAGAATGAAGCCTGGGATTTCAATATCCCGGGCTTCATTTGCATCTTGCTGGGCCTCGCCATTTTTAAATGTCCCTTAGTCCGAACTCTGTGCCTGCGGCTACATGCGGCACGGAGTAGGTAGTTCGAATTAGGATCTCTAATTTGAACTACCTGTACACCTTGTTCCATGAGGAGTAACGGTAGTTTGAATTAGAGAGCCTAATTTGACCTACCTACTCTGTGCCGTGTGTAGCCGCGGGCACAGAGTTCGGACTAAGGAACATTTAAAAATGGTGGTGCCCGGGAAGATGCAAATGAAGCCCGGGATATTTAAATCCCGGGCTTCATTTGCAACTTTGAATGCCTACATTAGCCTCCCTAGTTCGAACTAGGGGGCTAGTGTAGACATGCCCTCAGGGATTACAATATATTTTATGTTTTTTAAATGAGGTCCTGCAATAATGTCATCTGACACTCCCTGAGGAAATTTACTCTCCAGTGTAGCAGTCTGAGGGTACTCCTTGGTGGGTAAGGGAATAAACTCTTCTAGTCCTGGTAGTTGGAACATTAATTCCCCTGCCATCACCATTATAGCCAACTTGGTCCTAGCAGCATACATTTTTTACTATGTTCAAGGAAAGCCATGTTTTCTGCCTGGAGTTGTTGTTGCCTTTGGAAGCAAATTATTTACCAATTCCTTCTCTTGAAAGCTGTTTGAGGGGTATTGATTCACATACCCTTATTACTGCATTTAACATCCTCTTGTGGGCTTCTTCACATTCCTTACCAATCTGTAGATTGTGTGAGTGAAAAAAAATTAAGGTCTTTCTTTTTCTCGACATTCCGATAGAGCTGACCTCCTACATAACATGGGCCGTAGGACTTCGCTGAATGAATTCCTGCATCATGCCCAATATTTATGCTTGAACATAATTTTACATATTGTTTTTAAAAGAGCTATTTTAGAAAAACATCCAGAATTTCAGATGGACAATCTATCCACAGGTAAATTATTCCAAAGATTGATTATCCTCACTCTGAAAAATATACACCTAATTTCTAGTCTGAATTTGAATTTCAGCTTCTACCTGCTGTTACTGTAATTGTTAGGCTATGTCTACAACACAAAGTTAAGTCAACTTTAATTACATTGACATGCAGTCACCGCTGTAATTAAAATGCTGTTGCATGTCCACACTTTCCTATATCGGCAGAGTACACCCAAAGTAGCAGCTCTTGCCTCAACACAGAGAGCAATGTATTGAGAAGTACAGTGCAACCCACTGTGCAACTGACCAGGATACTTTGGGAAGGGTTTGCAATGCCTCATGGGGACAGGTCCAGTGTCACATGCTGCAAGTTTCTCAGTGCCATCGTTCCATGGGCATCCTACCAGGTTTCCAGTCACTTTTCACCTGCTTTCATCTGCTCAGCAGTGTTATTTTGATGTTATTCCGAAATAACACAGTGCACATCTACACTACAAGCCTTTACTTCAAAATAATGTCGAGCTGGAGGACTTCTTACTCCAACTCCTGTAACCCTCATTTCACAAGGAGTAAGGGAAGTCAAAGGAAGAGCATTCTTCCTTCAACTTCCTGCTGGGTAGACAGTGCCAAAAGCCGAATTAAGCTATTTCGATGTAAGCTACACGATTGATTTAGCTGAAGTTGCATCACTTAATTCAACTTTAGCCCTGCTGTGTAGACTTACCCTTGTGAGCCAGCCATCTGTGACAGAAAGCATCCATTGGTCTTAGGTAATGTGCTGAGCATTATGAACACAAGGCTGTAAGAGGAACTCAATGAGGAAAAGGGGCAATACAGAGGGACAGAGGCTATTCACCACCACCTGTGGTATTTTAGATGCTGCTTATAATTATTAGAACTGGGAGCACTGGCTGTTGGGAGTCTGGAAGCACAGGAAACAGGAAGGAGGGGGGAGATGAGGTAGGGCTGAGTGAGAGCTACAGAGGGAAGCAGCAGCAGCTTTGTAATGAGGTTTCACCTTTGTTAAATAAAGGCCTCTTGAAGTTTGTTAGTACCTTCCTTGCATGATACAACACCACCCTGACCCTAGCCCCATCCTCACAGAAGCAGTATGCCTGTGGCTCCACACCAGTGGCAACTATTTGCCTCCCTTGGGTTCTGATATGCTGCAGCGCTTTGGTTTTTACATGCCATTGCTGCAAATTTCTATCATAACCGCCTCTTCCTCTCCATGCCGCAAGAAATAGCTAATTCGAAATAAGTGCTGGGTAGACGCTTATTTTGAAATATGGGGCCTCCAGCCCTTCCCAGGGTGCCCTGGTGGCCACTCTGGGCCAAACCAGGAAAACTCCTCTCCACTCCCCCAGCCCTGGAGCCCTTAAAGGAGTAGACTCTGGCCACACTGCATGTGCCAGCACAGAGCCAGCAGTCACTGACCCTGACACAGTGGCAACAAGATGAGCTGGGCAGCCAGATCCAGCCAGCCCTCCACTGGCCAGTCCCCCAGCTCCCAAGAACCAGCCACGGGCCGGAGAAGGTGGGCGCCATCCTGGACTAGTGCGGAGATCATGGACATCATTGAGATTTGGGGGGAGGTCTTCACCGTCCATGATCTCTGCACTAGATGGAGGAACATGGCTGTCTACAGCTGCATAGCTTCCACCATGGCCACTAAAGGCCATATGTGCACCCAAGAACAGGTGCACATGAAAATTAAAGAATTGAGGCAGGGCTATGCCAGGGCCACACGGGCCGGCTCCCCAACAGCGGCACACACCTGCCCCTATTTCGAGGCCCTAGACCTCATCCTGGGGGGTGGGATGGTCTGTGCCAGCACGGGCGGGGGGGGGGGGAGATGAGCCAGGAGCAGAGGGCCCTGACCAGGGTGCAGAGGAGGAGCTGCCATGGAGGGTGCCACGGAAGATGCCACACCTGCCGGACCCCCGAGTTGTCCCAGCAGCAGAGTCATCAGGGTCATCCGGGGAGGCCACACCTCATAAGTGCCATCACCATCCCCTTCCCGGGGGGGTGGGTAGGGGATGGGAAGGAGACCAGGGACCGCATGCGTGGGCCTTGCCTACCCCAGGTCACGCAGCAACCTGTGCACGAGAGCACATGCCATGCCACCCCTGGGCAGGTGGCTCCAGCTGTGTGCCACACAGGGGCCGTGGCCGGATAGCCACATGTGTGTGTGAAGAGACCTGACATGCTCCTGACCCCGGGGCAGGTCACAGCAGGATGCCCTCCCTTCACAAGCCCCCCACCTCAGCCACACTATACACAAGACAGTGGCATGGGTGCAGTCTCGGGAAGCTCCCACTCCCAGGGATAGCTGGACATTCCGACCATGGCCTCTGTGCAAGCACAGCAGCTCTGACGGTGCAGGGCACGGTCATCCTCACCTCTTAGATCATGATCTCTGCACTAGATGGAGGAACATGGCTGTCTACAGCTGCATAGCTTCCACCATGGCCACTAAAGGCCATATGTGCACCCAAGAACAGGTGCACATGAAAATTAAAGAATTGAGGCAGGGCTATGCCAGGGCCACACGGGCCGGCTCCCCAACAGCGGCACACACCTGCCCCTATTTCGAGGCCCTAGACCTCATCCTGGGGGGTGGGATGGTCTGTGCCAGCACGGGCGGGGGGGGGGGGAGATGAGCCAGGAGCAGAGGGCCCTGACCAGGGTGCAGAGGAGGAGCTGCCATGGAGGGTGCCACGGAAGATGCCACACCTGCCGGACCCCCGAGTTGTCCCAGCAGCAGAGTCATCAGGGTCATCCGGGGAGGCCACACCTCATAAGTGCCATCACCATCCCCTTCCCGGGGGGGTGGGTAGGGGATGGGAAGGAGACCAGGGACCGCATGCGTGGGCCTTGCCTACCCCAGGTCACGCAGCAACCTGTGCACGAGCCTGATAGCCACATGCGTGTGTGAAGAGACCTAACATGCTCCTGACCCCGGGGTGGGACACAGCAGGACGCCCTCCCTTCACAAGCCCCCTCTACACAGAGGCAGGGGACATCTCCTCTCCACCTCAGCCTCACTATATACAGCACAGGGCATGGATGCAGTCTTGAGGCAGCTCCCACTCCGGGGATAGCCAGAAAATCCGACCATGGCCTCTGTGTAAGCACATTGGCTCTGACGGTGCAGGGCATGGTCACCCTCACCTCGCAGAGGGGGACTGGGCTTCACCCACTATGTCCCCAGGGAAAACTGACCACTGCTCTTCTTTCTCCACAGCCGCACCAGCTGCACATGCAGGGCGCACCACCCCGCCCGGGACATCCTCCCACACCTGAGGTCTCAGCAGATCCACCACAACATTGTAGGGTTACTGAGATCAGCAGCTGGGGGCCCTGCAAGCCCTGCACTGCACCATGGAGCAGTGGGTGCAGGACAAACGGGAATTCCGGGGGGAGCTCCTTACCCAGAGTCGTGCCATCTGTGACCATCTGCAGACCCTGGTGCAGAGAGTGCTGCCTCGTGCCGCTCCAGTGCCTGCTGCCTCCCCAGCTCCTGATCCTTCTCCTACTCCTTCTCCCCCTCCTGTCTCTCCCTCCTCAACCTCCACACCCTCCTCTTCAATCTCCACACCCCACACCTCAACCTCCACACCCTCCTCCCCATCCCTCCGGGGATGCCGAGGTCCCCGCACCCACCATGCTGGGAGACAGTTGGCCGGGCGAGACCCCCCACCCCTGAACCCTGAGCTTCCCCTTCCCCTTCTTCCCCTTCTTCCCCTTGCTTCCCCCTGCCAGCTCCCTCCTCCCAGTTTTCCCCCTCCCTTCTCCCACCTTCTCTTCTCCCCTCTCCCACCTCCTTTCCCCAGTCTCCCCAGAGTTTCATCCCCCCCCCCCAAGTTTGTTAAATAAACAGAGTTGATTTTATTTGACATTAGGAAGGGGGGTTAGGGAGGTGTAAGTGGAAGGACGTGAGGGAGGAATGAGGCACAAGCCCCCAGTGGGCAGACCAGGGAGGCTCTGAGTGCTCCTCAGGGTGGACGCTCTCCTGCAGGGCCTCCTGGATACTGACACGCCCCGCCCTCCGTCATGGACCTCCTGGATTGCAGTCTGCAGAAAGTGCAGCCAGGCTGATAGCAATACATCCACAAGAAGCACCAGAGTGCCCAGGGGCAGCTCTGGCTCCATGTTGCAGAGTGCTATTGTGTCCCGAGTGAGGGCAACCAGAGCACCCCAAGACACAAATGCTTTGCTGTCCCACAGCAAGGCAGGCAAGCAAGCAGGGACACCTAGAGAACCGGCTGCCCAGGGGATGAGGGAGTGTCCCTTTAAGCACAAGCCTCAGCTAGCTTCAGGCAACAGCCACACAAAGACACTCACTACCTGATGCCCTACCCCTGACCTGGTTCCGGCCGGCCTTAAATCCAAATCAGTGTCCACTCAGTGTGGATGCAGTATTTCGAAACAGCAAAACGCTATTTTGAAATGCATTTTGTGTGTAGATGCATTATTTCGAAATAACGCTGTAGTGTAGACATACCCTACGAGACCTGTCACCTCTCATGGACTCCAGGCAGGAGTTTGCTGTGTGGAGCCAGCATGCTCAGATGTGCAGTTGATATGTCAGCTGTCCACACTGAGCAAAAAGGGGAGCAAGTTCAAAACTTCCCTGGGCTTTAAAAAGCAAGATGTGTCTATCTCTATACTTGGCTGCAGGCAGAGCCGGCCCAAGTATGGGTGAGCTGGGCTACTGCCAGGGGTGCCCCATTATAGGGGGCGTCATGCGAGGCTGCCAGGCCGGCCGGGGGCGCCACCGCAAATGCTCCGTGTGCCCAGGGTGGCGCCACGCATGCGTCGCACTCCCCGGGGCGGTGCCATGTTCCTGGGGCCCAGGGCGCGTGAATGGCTCGGGCTGGCCCTGCTGGAGGGCAGTGGAGTTCAAAACCGTGACCTGAGTAGACATGATAGGGATTGCAGGATACCTCCTGGAGACCAGTTACATTGACATAAGCAGCACAGTGTTTACACTGCCCCTTATAGCTCTAACTACTTTGCACAAAGCTCTATGCCTCTTTCTTGTCAAGGTGGTTTTATTATGTCAGCATATCAGATAAGTTAAAGTGGCAGGAGGAGCATTGCAGCATGCAAACCTTCACAGTTAGGTCAATGTAAGCTACCTTATATCAACAAAACCTTATAGTTAGACAGGATCTTAGTCTGAGGAGGCCTCTATCATCACATTTCTGTTCAACATGTTGGTTCTTATAGGCTGATTAAATTAGCCCTTAAAAATTCTACATTGAGCTTCTTGAATCACTCTCTGAAAGGTGTTTTCTAATCTTTTTTTAACCACAGGAAAGAAACAAGCTTAACTCATAGGTGTTGGGACCAGCCTAGCAGAAGAGTTTCATGAACACACTGGAGCAGAGGCAGCAGTGATAAAGTAAATTCCCTCCAGCTGCCCAGCTACAATCTGGCAGTAAAAGAGTGAATTTCCTCCCCCAACTACAGAAACTCCTTTGCCTCACTACAGTGATTAAAATAAACCAGCAGCCACACAACCACAGCTATCAAGGCTTCTAGCATTAACATGTGATGAAGAACATTTTTTGTCTCTAGTGTGAGCACAGCAGTGAGGGGTTTTTTGTTTGTTTGTTTCAACACAGCCTCAAAAACGGAGCCAAGACAAGCCCACCTTAGGAGTGCAGAGGCCAAGTATTAGCATGGGGCATAAAGAGGAAGGAGCATTCACTAATTCAAACCTCCTGACTCCCATTTATCAGGTTTGGGGCACTATGTTGCTTGGGGCTCAAATTTCCAAACTCAATCCTAGGAGAAGAGATATTTCTGACACCATCAGAGCAGTCAGGGAATGATAATCACATGGGCTGTGTCTAATCACATGGGCCAAAGTGGCCGCTTTTGTGCAAAAACTTGCTGCCTGTCTACACTGGCGGGGAATTCTTGCACAAGAACACTGATGTTCTAATGTGTGAAATCAGTGCTTCTTGCGCAAGAACTATGATGCTCCTGCTCAGGAATAAGCCCTCTTGCGCAATTGTTCTTGTGCAAGAGGCCAGTGTAGAAAGGCAACATGAATTTCTTGCGCAAGAAAGCCCTATGGTTAAAATGGCCATCAGAGCTTTCTTGCGCAAGAGAGCGTCTACACTGGCACGGATGCTTTTGCGCAAAAGCACATCTCTTGCGCAAAGGCACATGCCAGTGTAGACGCTCTCTTGTGCAAATACTTTAACGCAAAAACTCTTGCGTTAAAAGTATTTGTGCAAAATCTTGCCAATGTAGACACAGCCTTAGTGCAGTGGAACAGTCTTTGTAAGCAAGGAATGAATTTCTACTGTAGAGATAGTCGCAAAAGTGACGGAGTTCTCTGACCAGCAAAAGCTCAAACAATACTGAGCACAGTAGGTATCATGGACAATGAAGTAGTGACCAATGCCCAGCATGGCAGTGTGGTCCTTGTAATGGCTACTCTGTAATTAAGTACTGTGGTGTCATCAATAAAGGAATTAAGCACTGATGCTGTCATGCCATCAGTTAAGCATTCAGTTGGTGCTGAAATAACTGATGATCAACAAACATTTTTTTAAAAAATTTGCACTGATTCATTTATTAGCCTGAAAAATGTATCTTTCCTCCTTCAACCCAAGAACCCCTGATCTTTTTAGTTGTAACAGCAGATTAAACCAATTCCAATGCTTGGATGATGTGATAAATGTAAATTGTTTGGGCTTGGGACTGGTCTTTAGATAGAATCCTGTAGGTCCATTTATCCTTTTAATTTTTACTACCTGAGATTTAAGAAGAGCTTCCCCTTCTTTTCAGAAATCCTTTCTAAATATATCTTCTGATGGGAAAGAGCGATTAATACTCAAATCGCATTTGGTAAGCTGTGACTAATTCGATCTTCATTGTTGTTTTGATAAAATTTCACCCAGCAATTGATGAAACATTATCTAATTTTTAAGGTTGTATGGTTCCATCAGAGTGTGACATGAATAGTGCAATCTTGTCTAGAATAGAGGTGTGATGTGCTCGCAACTATAGCATTAAAGGACATGGCACCTAGATACCATGGCAACTGGTGCATTATAGTAATCTGGCTCAAAAAAAAAAAATCATTAGTAACTGTGGTTGGAACTGGTGGTATCACACCAATGGCAACTATTTGCTTTCCTTGCCATCTGATGTGCCTGCTGCTCTTCTTTGATTTTTACAAGGCACTACTGCATTCTCCCATGGTAGCCCTTCCTCACCATGCCCCAAGGGAGTCCCAGTGGCTGGAGGGGAGCCATGCCTGTACAGCCTCCTCTCTCCACAGACCCAGATATCCATCACCTCTAATAAGGAGGTTAACAGGCTGTATCTTAGCATTAAGAGAGTAAAATGACAAAGAAATACCAGCAAGAATGGAATTAAATAGCAATGATTAAGAGGCTGCGGAACCAATTGTGTCAGGCCCAGCTTTCAAAAATTTGATGAGATGCAAAGGGGTTAAGTCAATGACCATTGCTTGTTGTAAAAGGGATTTTATACTGTATTAACAATTTCAATATTTAAGAACTGAGTCAACCTCACCCCCAGCCAAGATTGTATTAAACATCATGAGATGTTTTAAACATAATACCTTTGGGGTCATTTTTTATTTACCTTTTGGATTTTGAACTCTTAGGATTCACTTTTCCAGCTTTTCTCTGCAACTATGAGGACTGAAATTAATATTTTTTATTATTTGGATTGAAAGCTGAGACTCTCATGTAATTGTATGATTCCAAGAGTTTTAAGAAAAGCATCAAATATTACTAAACTTACAATAAAATGACAACAGTTGGCAATATTATTGTTTTCTGTTCTTGTTCTGTTAAGCAATCAAATTTATAAGCCCTGTGGTGCTGAAACCATCTTTGTTCTATGTGTACAGTACCTTGCAAAGCGGGTCTCTGGTCCTTGACTGCAGGTCATACCGCAATACAAATAAATAATAATTGAACAAACATGTCAAAAGTTTAAAACCAGTTTCCCTATCCCAAGTTAACTGTTCACCCTAAGGTGCAAGTTGCCAAGCTTGTTTGCTCTGACCTATACTGTTATGGATTGTACCTGCTTCGGTATTTTTTTTACATAATAAGCAGTACGGAAGCTCTCATGTCTGGCATCCTTGGGATACGATTGGTGCCAAAGCAGAAAATTTGCCAGACCATGGGAGGTCAATATTGTCTAGCAGCATTACCAACACTTCCATTGCTTACTGGGCTCTTAGAAGATGGGTAAATTAGAGCTAAACAACAGCACAGAGCCAGGACTAGTGGCTGTACATACACTTTATAGGAACACAGGAAAGTTGGCCATCCATACATGATAAGTAGACATCTGGCTAATTGAAATCATGCAGGATAACAGCTGTTGCCAGGCCAGAGTGCAGGACTAGAATGGTTCAACCTGTGCAAGAAAAGAATCTCATCCTTTGTTTGGTAGAGCTCATCTGTGGCAAAGTACTCCTCTGATACTTCTTAGGGCTTTACATAAAAGTTATTTATAGATGGTACATTAAAGTCATCCAGACAAAGAATGCATCATGTCCTAAAGAGGATTAAGCAGCACTGGACATTTGGGAATTGAGGACACTAAATGGTTTGGGACTCTAGGTCAGTAATGGGGCAGGAGAGTGGGAACTGAACTTCATGGTCCATCAATATAGTCACTTATAGACCACATAGCCTAGGTTTGAGAGAGAATTAATGTTCTTGATGTAAAAATAAAACATTTTATTTTGTTGGAGCTATATGCTTTGCAATGGCTCCCACATTCAGATCATTATGGTCACTAGGGGTACGTCTCAACTACATGCCTCCGTCGACGGAGGCATGTAGATTAGCCAGATCGGCAGAGGGAAATGAAGCCGCGATTAAAATAATCGCGGCTTCATTTCCCTCTGCCGATCTGGCTAATCTACATGCCTCCGTCGACGGAGGCATGTAGATTAGCCAGATCGGCAGAGGGAAATGAAGCCGCGATTAAAATAATCGCGGCTTCATTTCCCTCTGCCGATCTGGCTAATCTACATGCCTCCGTCGACGGAGGCATGTAGATTAGCCAGATCGGCAGAGGGAAATGAAGCCGCGATTAAAATAATCGCGGCTTCATTTCCCTCTGCCGATCTGGCTAATCTACATGCCTCCGTCGACGGAGGCATGTAGTCTAGACACACCCCAAGTTATTATGCTCAATGCATTCTTGCATATACTTGAAGTTTCCCCTGCTTACTGAATTTCTACTTAACTCAAGGTATGGCTATGGAAAGATCACATGTATTTTACTTTTGCTATACAGAGAGCAGACTTGAAGGAATATATTAGTTTTTGGTTAAGGGATAAATCCTTATTATTGGGCCTTGATGCAGAAAAGGGGTAAGTGTGGTCCCAGAAGAGGAGCAGCCCTTGAAATGCAGAGCTAAGATTGAGTATGGTCCTGGAGAGAGTTGAGGCTGTGGTATTAGAGGAGGTTCAATGCAGACGTAGCTCCAATGTGGAATTGGCTGAGGCCCCACACATGAGAAGGGCAGTAAGTAGAGTTCTCAGTGAGCTCCAGTCTGGTGGTGCAGGTAGTGCAATGCAGGGAACAGCTGTGGCAGGAGAACACATGCTCCTCAGCCTGGGAGGGAGTCAGTGGGTGATGTAAATAGGTTAAGCACAGCTGCCTGCTTCAGCTCTGGCATGGAGGAGTTAAAGGTGGGTTTGAGGGGGCTCTGCTTTGAAAACTGGAGGGGGAAGGCAAATACAGCTCTGGCCCCATCATAGAGGGGACTACGAGAAGCTCGGCAAGGCTGGCTCAGGCGCCCCGCTGCTGTCTCGCGCTCCCTCCCCCACAAAAAAGCCGCCCTCCCCCTTTCGGGAGCGGCGCAGCCTCCGCTCTGTTTCCCCCCTTCCCAAAGAGACAGAGGTAGCAGCGGGGGCGCCCTAAGCTGCTTGGGCAGG